TATAATAAAATAATAAGTGACCATAATTCAACCACACCCAACAAAAATTATCAAATAGATCTTACTTAAATGAAGTTGGGGGAAAAGCCTTTTTCTATTACTTATTAAAAAATGTGTCAAGAAACAATTAAGGCTAAAAGGTTACTTTTAAATTTTATTCTTCCTTTTTTATAATAATTTTAATGTGTGAAAATACCGAAACAACATTAAATCATCCAAAAAAGGGGAAAGTTGGAAGAATATTTTCCACCCAACTAAATGTCCCCCGTAAAAGGAAAAAGAAAAATAGGTTCACTACACTAGAACTGCAATTCAATGGCGAAGCCGCCGGAGGGGAAGGCGGGGGTGGAGTGGGGCAGTGTAGGCCCCCAAACTTTTGAGATGTTGATATAATTGTACTTCATTTTTGGGTTAAATTTGCCATCGTTAATTTTTATTTTTATACATTTTTTTCTTTAAAATGTTATTTCACATTATTTTAGTCATTTTGTTATTTCTTTATTCATTGGATACTACTTTTATAGCATTAAAAAAAAGGATAAAAAATAAAAAAGTATGAAAAATAAAGATTAATTAAATAATAATATATAAGTTGTTATTTTAATTTTTTTTATTTCAACAATTATTATTTGGGTTGTATTTTGAATTACTACATGTTAAAATTAAAAACACAAAAATATCATTAAAGGAATGCTTATTAGGGTATAAGAATAATTTCAATCCAATTCAAAAAATAAAAAATAAAAACATTGCTAATCTAGATTAAAAATTCACAATTTTGGTATAGTGACTTTAAATTTTGCCCCTCCACATGAATTACTTGCTACATAATGATCCCAACCAAAAAAAGTTAAATATAAGATTAAAATGAAACAAATGTAAAAACAACGGGGTAAAATTCCAATTAAGAAAATAGTAGGCGACGAATCACCGTTAAACGTCGCTGTCTCTGAACAATCCCTAATAAGGCTGAGGTTGCATTCACACTCAGACTCACACGCTCACACCCTATCTGATCCCGCGTTTCAGCCACTCTCCAATCTGTCGCCAGCTAATCACTAGTAAATACCGACCAAAGTAAATAACCGCCGTCATTTCTAGTTAAATCGCGAATTCAACGGCTCAGATCTTATCATGTTCCCATCCTAAATTGATTCGTAATTCACATCGTCATCATTAAAAAAAAAAAAAAAATCACAATCTAAAAAAGCAACTGTCTTTGAGTTGGAGCAAAAGTGCATCACCATCACTTGAAAAATCGATCCCGGAAAATGGTGTACCCCCGTTCCTCACGCGCCGGCGGAGGACGAAGCATTGGTTTCGCCATCAGATTGCTTGCCTCCGCCACCGCGCTTGCCGTTTTCCTCTTCCTTACCCTCTCTTTCTTCTTCACTTCTCACTCTCGCTCCCCTCATTTCCAAACTCACTTCGTAAGTACACGTATTTTCCTGACGAAAAAACGGGATTATTTCTTGTTCTGTTAATTCCGAATCTTTTTTTTTTTTTTAATGGAATTGAACTTGTTTTGCTGAATTTAATGGTGTCGGTTTATGGTTAGGGAGTCGATTCGGGTTCTTATGGGGTTGGATCGATGAGGAGATCAGTGCTGGCGCTGAAATCAGATCCACTCAAGCCCCGATTGGACCAGATCCGGAAGCAAGCCGACGACCACCGTGCGCTGGTGCTGGCGTATGCGTCCTATGCGCGGAAGCTTAAGCTTGAGAACTCCAAGCTCGTGAGGATTTTCGCGGATCTCTCCCGGAATTACACCGATCTCATCAACAAACCCTCTCATCGTGCTCTCTTCGAGTCCGATTCCCTCTCCATTGACGAGTCGGTGTTGCGGCAATTCGAGAAGGAAGTGAAAGAGCGCATCAAAACGACTCGCCAAGTGATCGCCGACGCTAAAGAATCGTTTGATAATCAACTCAAGATTCAGAAACTGAAGGATACGATTTTTGCTGTGAATGAGCAGTTAACGAAGGCGAAGAAGCAAAGCGCGTTCACTAGTCTGATTGCTGCGAAATCGATCCCCAAGAGCTTGCACTGCTTGTCAATGAGGTTGATGGAGGAAAGGATCGCGCACCCGGAGAAATATAGCGACGAGGGGAAATCTATGCCTCCTGAATTCGAGGACCCAAAGTTGTATCATTACGCAATATTCTCAGATAATGTGCTCGCAGCCTCGGTGGTGGTGAATTCGGCGACCAAGAACGCCAAGGAGCCGTGGAAGCATGTGTTCCATGTGGTAACTGATAAGATGAATCTTGGGGCAATGCAGGTGATGTTCAAATTGAAGAATTATAATGGAGCTCACATTGAAGTGAAGGCTGTTGAGGATTATAAGTTCTTAAATTCATCATATGTTCCTGTGTTGAAGCAGCTGGAATCAGCCCAGTTGCAGAAGTTTTACTTTGAGAACAGTTTTCAGAACTCCACTAAAGATACATCAAATATGAAGTTCAGAAACCCCAAATATCTGTCTATTTTGAACCACCTGAGGTTCTATTTGCCGGAGATGTATCCAAAATTGCATAGGATTTTGTTCTTGGATGATGATATTGTGGTGCAAAGGGACCTGACTGGGCTTTGGAAGATTGATATGGATGGGAAAGTGAATGGGGCAGTGGAAACTTGTTTTGGGTCGTTTCATAGATATGCTCAGTACATGAATTTCTCACATCCTTTAATTAAGGAAAAGTTCAATCCCAAGGCATGTGCCTGGGCTTATGGAATGAACTTCTTTGATTTGGATGCTTGGAGGAGGGAGAAGTGTACAGAGGAGTATCATTACTGGCAGAGTAAGGTAAGATTTCATGATTGTTCTTTTAGCTATTTGCCTGACAGTGACTAATTTTATTATTTAGCATGCTTATGATACTCTTTTGGTGCTTGGTTGATTATATTTATATGTATATGAATGCCTGTATATGCCTGTTTCTTTACTGCAATTCTGGTGCATCATAGATTCATAGAATGATTTCTTCTGAAAATGATAAACTGCTTGAGGCTTCTTATGTTAGCAGTCTGTAGAACAGCCTAAGCCTAAGGGCTAAATACCTCAGTTTCAAACATCCAATGTCTTTAATTCTTGACAGTTTCTACTGTTTATGTTGGGTTTAATGTGTTCTATTGAGTTTGTACTTGGATTACCATTTAACTTTAATGCTTGGTGTTTGCAGAATGAAAACAGGACTTTGTGGAAATTGGGAACATTGCCACCGGGTTTGATCACATTCTACTCCACAACAAAACCTCTTGACAAGTTATGGCATGTTCTTGGACTTGGGTATAACCCCAGCATCAGCATGGATGAGATACGCAATGCTGCAGTGGTGCACTTCAACGGGAACATGAAGCCATGGCTCGACATTGCCATGAACCAGTTTAAGCCGTTATGGACAAAGTACGTTGATTATGAGTTGGACTTCGTTCAGGCCTGCAATTTCGGTCAATAAATTAACACAATAGTTCCTTGCGCGTTATTCAAGTCTTGTTTACTCAGCATGGAGGAAACGTGTCCAAACGAACACCTTCCTACCACAGCATGGTTTTGTTATTCATTTTAGATTTTTTACTTTTGTTCATACCAATGTGATGGATAAATTTATTTGGTAGATGTTGAACTCTGAAGATTACCTTGGGTCTAAAATTGTGACCGATGTTTCAAGTTACTGTTAGCCTCCCTCTATCAGTCCCTATAAATGCATATTTAGGTATTCCTCGTAACTCGGGTGTGGCTTACTTTTTAAGTCGTTTTGTTACTGAAATTGACAGTGGTTAATTTGCTTGTCAAATAGTTATCCTCTGCTGTCCTTTGCAATCTTTTCCTTTGATTAATGGTGAGACCAGAGAAAGAACAGCGAAGACGGCCGAAAAAATAAAACAAACATGGAGAGAAACAACGGCGGAAAAAGACCCCTGAGTGCATTAGCTGGGTGCTTGTGAGAGAAGTTGACAGAATTTCATTAAGGACGCTCAAATTTCAGAAACTTACAATTAGATAAAAGTTGGAGATTCAAATCCTGCAATCCTGCAATAGCAAGCATTCCTGAAATTACGTGCGCCTGTGTCATCCCAGCCAATATAGCCAATTGAAAGACGATAACATCTCCAGAACCTCTACATCTCAATGTCTATGAAAACTCAGCGAAAGTTTCACACCTAAAATCAAGGATGAAATGCAGAGGTTTCTAAAATATCATTTGTCTATTGATTGGGAAACCTTCGTGGACTTAAGATTTCATATTAGAGATATCTCACGACAGGATTTCTCCTATAATTGCGACTTCAGAAAACAATATTCTATGCAATGCAGCAAAAAGTGGAAGGAAAATCATTGCACATGTAACAGGGAAAACTACAAAAGCCCTTTCAAATCTGGAATCAATGGTAAAGAATTCAGGACAACAAACATTCAAACTAAGGTAATCAGTTTCTTGAACTGCTCACAAGGATGTGCTTCGGCAAAACATTTCCAATGGCTTTTGGAAATGAACAAATTGTCTTAGCAGCAACAAATGCAGAAGCCGAATGTGCAAACTAATATCCCAAAATGGAACTAGTGAATATCTCATAGGCCTAGTAATATACCGAACAAAATCTGAACCGGCTATCGACCCAAAACTTCCGAGCATATGAAAAAGGGACAAAATGGCAACTGAAAACTCCAAACAATATTTTGGTTGCTGGTTTGTGAAAAATTTTAACTGCTTTACTCTAAATGCTATGAGATCACTTGATAAACCTACACTACAAACAGAATTTGCCCTTGACCACAATCCAACCATCTTCAACAATTTCCTCAAGCATGAGCAGATACCCTGGGTGCCACATTCTTGGATGCTCCATTAACAGCCAATCCACCACCACGGTTTACACGTCCACCATTGCTCCCTACATGATCACCCCTCTGATATCCATCACCTCCACGATCCCTCTGATATCCATCACCTCCGCGATTTGGAAATCCACCCCGACTGCCATTTCGGTTTCCAAATTCAGCCCTATTACCAAAATCACCCCTGTTATAGCCCCTCCCACCGCCATAGTTTCCACGCCCTCTTGCCCCATCATTCCTATATCCCACCCCAGAGCCACCTGAAGATCGAGCTCTATTGTTCACTGCAAAATAAAGAAGTTACAATATTAGCAAAAGAAATTCACAAAAGTGACACATAAAAGTTACAGTTCAAATTGTAGAAATTGGATCAATCACGAAATTCAGTTATACTGAACTATTATGAGCCTCAAAAGACATTTTGCACATCACCAAGATTCATATATTTAAGCACCCATGCACTGCTAAGAAAAGCTTATCATAACAGAAACATTGTCAGGGTCAGAGATATATGAGCTCCTTTCCTAATCATCTATTATTCATTTTCTCTATTAAGTTTAACAATTAAAAAACTTGCCTCGGGTTGATCGCTTCTCTTCAACAACTGCTTTCCTTCCACCAATGATAAGTGGTGAAGCCTGAAAAATAAAAATGAAGCATACTTCAAAAACTTTGATACATTATCGATTCAAAAATAAAGAACACTGTTCTTTCAGAAAATTTTATAAAATAATAACTGGTACTGAAGGTGAATCAGGTAAAGATTCAAGAGAAAAGACCCAAACATCAACAGTGACACCGTTGTTACATGCAAGAAGTTGGTTTAAGTAAACCCAACAGGATGCACAAAAATGACAAGAGAGAACCTAGAATGAACTGAACTAAAGATTATTCAATCTTTAAATCATTTCCTAATTACAAAAGTGTTCCAAAGGAAAATAAGATAAATGCTATCACAGGAAATTATATACCGCTATTGCACTTTGCACAGCACTTGCCACTTCGAATTCCACAAAACCAAAACAAAATCCCTGTTGTAAAATGAAAAATAATAAATATTAATTTGACATAAAGTCATCACCATGGAACACATTGAAAAATGAGTAATTCAGTACCTTTTGGCTTCTAACTTGAATACCACCACTCTTGATAGATCCAAACTTCTTAAACTCATTCTCCAGCATACTCTCTGTGGCATTTGCAGGCAGACCTTTAACATAGATGGAGGGACCCTCAGCTGTTCAAAAATAATATTATATATATATATATATAATATAAGCAAAGACACAGATAAGTAAAAAATCATTGCAGAGCAGAAAATGAACAAATGCATGCATGAAAAAGAAAGGATTGTCCACCTTCTCCATCTTGATTGTTTCCATTTTCATGAATGTTTGTGCTTGAAACCTGTGTATCAGATGGTGGTGCTGGAGGTGCTGGAGTGGCTGCAGCAGCTGTAGGTTGCTCTTGGCTTTTAACCACAGGTTTTACAGGAGAATGAGTGGGACCTGAAGCAGTTCCAGGATTCTCCTTCGTAACCTTCAGCTAAAGCAACAACATTAACCAAATTAACCACACAAACACCCATGCTACAGAAGGTGAAAATTTTATCATGCTCTGCCAGGTAATGGTAGTGCATAACAATTTAAGTGTATTGCGAAAACTCATAATAATAACAATAGCAAGATAGTAGCTTACGATAGATGCATATGATTTCTTTGGCACTTCTTCAATTTTGGAGTTAGATTCAGCAACAATCTGTAAATCATCAGGATTTTCATCAACAACCTCAGCTACAGGTTCCTGCTCTTCCTCAATGGTAATAGAGCGATCCTCATTCCCAGTAGGATTGTAAACTTCAGCCCCGTTGACTTCCTCAGTGGAAGTATCTTGTTGCTCAGCAATGTGGTTCTCCTTGGCAGGGGAAGCATCTGTAAACAGAGACATCTTCAACATCAATTAATAGATATAAAAAAGACGCCATTTGAAAGGTAATAGGGCTTCCAAGTACCCTTCTCAGGAGTAAGAGATGCTTCAACATCATTAACAGGACCCTGGTTTCCATTTTGATATTTGACATCATCAACATATCTAAATACATCATTCAAAACAAAGTAGCCCTTGTCTTGAGGTGCCAGAAAGAAACTCTGGGCAAACTTCCGTGTCAAATCATCCTTTCCAGTCAGAAAACCAGTCACAAGAACAATGACTCCTCCACTGTGAGAGTTTTGTGCATCCACAGTTGTTATCTCTGCCTTGAAGTCTCCATAATCAAGGGAGAGTATCTTCTCATTGATAGCCTGCTCCAGAAATCCCAACTTCAACAAACCATGCCCATTTAAGCATTAAATATATAAAGCAAATAAATTCAAGATCTAGATTCCCAATAGATCAAATGATACAAAAGAAATGTCACAAAACAACGCCCCATTATCTGGGACAGATTGTATCTTTTACATCTTAAAGATTTGGTGTTCAGATTTTACTGCACAATAGTAGCTTTTCCAAATTTCAGGGAAAAAAAAAAAAGAATATCCAGAAATCAAAATATCTAACATTTAGTAAATCCAAACATAAAAAAAGATTGATTCTCATGAGCAATCAAGCAATGTGAGAGTACAGAGAAGCTTTCATAGTCACTTATTACTCTCATCTTAGAGAGATTGGAGCAAAGGGCCACATTACTTCTCAGATGAGAGCTAATTCACCCAAATGAATTCATATGAATGATTGTGCACGGATGGTCAGATTATGGTATCTGTAAGAGAATGATGGCAACACAGCTCACCTGCATGGTGGTTGTGATATCCATTACACCATTTTCTCCTGGACGACCAAGTTTGCTAATGTCCTGGTAAAATCGGTGAACATGCTCAGGCGATTGATGCAAGATATGGTAGTATTGATGGACAAAAGCGTTCCCAACCTAAATTCACGAAAATTTCAGTTGAATCCAATTGAAGAAAGACATAAATTTGACAATCCATGGGAATAGAATATAGATTATCACATTTAAGAAAAGAAAAGCATACCATATCAGGAGTATGGGGTTGAATTGCAGCTGAAGCTTCCTGCACCGCAGACGCCATCACCTTTTGATCCCAACAAAACAACCACCAAACAGAAAATTCAATCCATATAATAAGCTACTGGAATTAAATTTTAACTCTAGTATTCACAGCCATGAGTTCCAGTTCCAGAAATTCTGAGTCTTTATACAAAAAATAGAATAAAATAAAATTCAGATTTAAATTTTAATCATGCAGATAGCATTTCTCTCCAAATTCTGAACAATTTTCGGTGAAAATTTCAGCAAAGTTCATTACAAAACATAGGTCACCAGAGAAAAATCAGCGAAACCGGAATCTCATATTTTCCGGGTGACGCAAGATAATTTCCTCGAAATAAACTATTTTCCACCGGAAAACAAACACAAGCTATAGCGACAGTGATCTAAGCAAGAGACTGCAGAGAGAGAGAGATAGTCACCTGATCTGAGATTTGGATTGACGGCGCCGAGAGGTGAGAGACGAAGGATTGCTTTTGATCTGGCTAGCTCCGGTGTTTCTCCGGCTGTTGCCTGTTCGGAAGTCTCCTTTCCTCACCACCGAAACGGTGGTTTGGCGCTTTCTAGGGTTTTTGTAGATCTTACAGAGGCGCGGAAAATGGGGAAGAAGGAAGGAGTTATACGGCAGGGTTTTTGGTATTTATATGGGGACTGCTCAGGGGCACCACTATTTTCTTTTTAAAAATTATCTTTTTTCTTTAATAAAATAAAATTCAATTTTACATATTTTGAAATTGTAACATATATACTAAGATATTAGGAAAAATTATTACATTCTGACAATTATAATAAATTATAATAATTATTTTTTATTTTTTAATAATTTTTATAAGATAATAAGAGAATAAGATTTGAATAGATTTTTTTTTTTATAGTACAATTTTTGAAACATAAAAGAGAGGAATAAGATCAATAACCTTCAAACTTTAACCAAATAGGTAACAAGTGATATTGTTTTCAACCACCCATAAATCAAAAGTTCAGATTTGAATAGATTAATTGCAAAAACATGCAATCACTTTTATTCGTCTCCAGCAGAGGTGACAAAAGTGAATTCAATCCATCAACTAGGCCTAACCCAACCCGTATAACCGGGTTATCGTTTATATTTTTGGACCCGTAACTCGATAACAATCAGAGAAGTTGACCCAAATGAATTATGGATTAGAATCAACGATTTGTTGATTAGTATGAAAAAATTTTGATTTTTTTTTAAGTAAGATATCCAGTTTGAGTCTTATGAATAGAGAAATAAATATTGAGAGAGCTTTTCTTAATAGGATTCGATACGATTCGATTCTGAATTAATCGAGAGCTAATGTAATTATCAAATATCAAAAAGTTAATATAAAAAAAAAATTACGAATTAAAAAATATTTAACTTGTGGATTCATAGATTGACTTATTTAATAAAAAATAAAATTTTAAATTTAAATATTTATTTTTGATTATTGACATTAATCAAGTATTTAATGATGACAAATGTTAAACTAAATACTAATTAAAAATTCAACCAAATTTAATTAAAATAAATAGCATGCTAAAATTTTAGATTAAATAACAATTAACAAAATATATTTTATGAACAGCAGCTGAGCACCAATAAAACGATGAAACGTCTCGAAGCAAACAATACAACACCAACTATAGTGCAAATGGGGTTAACTTAAAAAAAAAAAAAAAAAAAGGTTCTTTTAATTTTTTGAGCAAAATGTTCTTTTTATTAATAATATGTACTCATCTTTTTTTCCCTCTAAAGAGACACACTCAAATTAAATGAACAAAAAGCTATGTTAATAAAATAAATGACATCTTAAAATTTCATGTAAATAATAGTTTTAAAATGATTATATATTTTAAACTCTTTCAAATAATTCTTGATTATTGACTCTTTTCATAATTTTGTAGGATTGGTTAAAATAAGATTTTGACAATAATTATTATTATAATGAAATTTTATTCTCTAATATTTTTAAAAGAAAATGTTAATTCTACAAAAGGTAATTATCTTTAAAATTTATTATTTATAAGTGAATTTTAGTAGTTTAGATATTATAAA